CTTCACAGTTACCACTGATTGTGACATCTTCTGCTCCCAGACAGCTATGTCCACGTCTTTCATCATACTCACAGTGCAGGGGTCTCATCTGTTGTCCCTTTAGCTCTCTTCCTTCAGCCTTGTCCAGGAAGCTTTCCCTAAGTGTCAAGCCTGGGTCCATGTGCTTCCATCATCAGAACACTCATCATAATGTGCTGCGCTCTGCCTTTTGCAAGACTCTGAAGGTCCAAGAAGGAGGTCAGAGGCTGTCCCCAGTTTTTCCACCATTGTACTTATCTCAGACATTGGTCCACAGCAGCAGGTGCACATAAAATATTTGTTGTCAGATGTATCTGTGTCCATCCCACCCACTAGACTGAGAGCTCCTTGAGGTAAAGGCTTCTGTCTTTCTTATCTCTGTATCCCTGCGACTCAGCACAGAGCCTGGCACTGCGTTTGTTGAATGAATCTATAGATAAGGAAGTTAACAGATGCCGTTCCTTAGATAGGGCAATAGAGTCACCGGCAAATCCCAACCCCTCATTCTGAGGCTGTGAAGTTTTAGAGATGAGGGGAATGAATGAATGGGTAATCCTTGAATAAGGGGCTTGCCAAAATTTTCTAAGCCCAAATTTAAGACTAATTCAAAGATAACTGAACAAGATTCTGTTCGGTTTAATCAGCGCTAGAGAGAACTATTGATTTCTCCCCTGAAGCCCATTTCTCCCCATTTCTTCCCCACCTCTGTAAATGGTACCACTGTCCAACCAGGGGCTCAAGCCCAAAACCTCAATTCAGCTTCACTGTCTCTATGTACCCAAATCACCAACAGGTCTATTGGCTCCTCGTAAAATACACACTGAGTCCCCCACTTTTTCCATCTCTACCACAGTTGCCCTGGCCCAGCCACCACCACCATCAGGCCTCACCTGGACTCTTGCAGCACCTTCCCAGAGGCCTACCAAACTCCCCTATAACACGCCCACAAGCCACCTCCACACAGAAGCTGGACAGATCTTAAACAATAGGTAATCTGATCATATTACATCACCTTCCTACAAACCTACAAACGCATCCCATAACACACGGGATAAAATCTGAACTCCCTGCAGTGATCTCCAGGCCTTCTCAGGCCATGCCTACCTGCCTCTGGTAAACCTTATACCACGACCCATCCCTCCTCACTCTCTGGTTCCGCCATTCCTCTCAAAGCTCACTCCCACCTCGGGGTCTTTGCATCTGCTCTCCCTTCTGCCCAGATGTCCTTCACCAGGTCATCACTCGACTGGCTCCTTGGAAGCCAGGTGTCAGCTCAGAGGGTCACCTCTCCTCAGAGGGGCACTCCCTGATGTCCTATGTGAAGGAGCTCTCCTATCACTTCACTCTGCTTTACTTTTGTCACCACTATCTGAAATCATCTTGTTTATTTTTATGTGTTTTTTATCAGTCTCCTCCAACTCGAATACCAGTTTTTCTCATATGCTGAAGTTATCGCAGTTTTTATAATAATTTACTTGTTTTATGTTTCTCTCCCCTACTAGAATGTAAGCTCTAGGAAGACAGGGCCTTATCTGGTTCTATCCCCCTGGTTTGTAGCACAGTGCCAGGCACATAGTAGATGCTTAATAAATATTTTTTCAATGAATGAATGAATGAATGAACTCCAAATGTGTCTATAGAGGGAAATCAGCTTGGAGAGAAAAGTGAACGTGGTATGGGTCGTCATTAACAGAAAGGCAGAATGTAGACAAGGAGGATCCAGTCTGCATGGATCGGATCATATCTGGATTACTGTACTTGGTCCTGGGAGTCACAGTGCCACAAGGACCAGCAGCATGGATGGGAAATTGACCAAGTTGGCACATGAGTAGAAACTTGGAAAATCGTAAGTATTTACCTTATAGAGACCAAAAAAAAAAAAAAAAAATCCTAGAAGGCATACTGTTACTGTCTTTTTACTATCTAAGGGGCTATTCAGAGAACAGGGAATAGATTTGGTTTGGAGCCCTGAGGGCAGAATCCAGATCAATGGGTATTAGTTTGATTGGAACAGATTTTAGTTACAGGAAGAAAATGGCCCTTTTAGAGAGTACATAGTAAGGGAAGGGGCTGCACTAGGAAGTGGTAAGCTCCCCATCTAAGAAAGGGTCCAAGTGGTACAAGTGGCAAGGACATTGAGGAAGGGATTCAGGCAGCGGAAGATGGCCTCCAAAATATCCTTCCAATGTGAGATTTCTGGGTTTCTATGATATGTAGGGATAGAGTCAAGAAAACATTTCTGGCTAATAAGAGTTCTAGAACTTACCTACCTACCTACCTATCTACCCCAATAGAAGAAAACATCACCAAATTAAACAGTGGAAAGAGTAGCTGAAAGGTGTCTTGTGGGCCTGAAGGCATCCCAGAAACACCGTGGACAGCTCTCTGGATTTGCAATCTGTGTGATCATTTAGAACACAGGACTCCCAAACAGTAATAATTTGACTATCCAAAGATGCCTCAGATTCTAAGGGAAGACAACCCACATTATTGCATAATCCCTAAGATGGTCCTGGGTTTCATTTCTGAAACTCTACTACTTCCTAATGGTAGGACCTGGGGCAAAATAATTAACCCCCCCAAATCTCAGTTGCCTCATCTGCACAAAGGATGTCATTTAAAAATGAGGGGTAAGGAACAACTGAAACCATGATGGCTCAATTTGATAATTATTGAAACTCAGTGACAGGCACACAGGCATTCACTATACTATTTTATGTGTTTGAAAATTTGCATAATAAACAGTAAAATAAAAGGGTGGGGAGTTTAAAATAGTACCTACCTCATGTAATAGTTGTAGTGCTTAAAGAAATGATCATCACCACCACCATTACAAGGGATTTTTACAAATCCCCATCATTACCAGAAATGTTTAAATGTCCCATTTAATTATCCCAACAACCCTATGAAATGCATAGTATTCATCGCCCCTTGGCAGATGAGGAAACCAAAGCTCAGATAAATTAAACAGTAACAAATTCTCCAGCTGGCACAAGGCTGAAATGCAATCTGAAACCAGAGTTATCTGACTCCACCAGTGCACCCTCCTTTCTTTCAAGAATAGCGCATTGTGTTCTGCTTGGTTGACATCTACACAATTATGATATCGTTTATTCATCTAAGTCAATGGTTTTCTAGCTCGCTCTTTTCTCAGTAGCAGAGCCCTTTTTTCAAACATAGCCTTATGTAGAACTTCAGTAAGTAAAACTGATGAAAGCTGAACAGCCCTGGCTAAAGTGGGGATTGGGGCTCCAACCAGCCCACTTGACTCCAGGATGGCCCCCGAAACACCCTTGGGTCTGTGGAGCACAGTGTGAAAACCCCAGATTAAAGCCAACAACAACAACGACAAAAACCCCTAACCCTAAGAAGTACCTGTTTAGAGCAGCCTCATTTGTATAATGTATCTTTCATTTCCCTGTCTCCCATCACATCGGATGCTCATTATCAACTCTGAGGTGGACACGGCAGGGCATATCATCCTCAATTTGCAGATGAGGGAATCAAGGCCAAATGGAGTTAAGCAACTGGCCAAAGGTGCGCCAGTTCAATTTTTGGCCAAGTGCAGACTGGAAGTAGAGTCTGCCTCCATTAACTCAGTGTGACCTGGCAGAGAGGGTGCCATCTACTGGAAATTGCTACTGACCCTTGGTCCACAGAGTGGACATCAGCTTCTTGGCCACTGAGAGCCTAGCACAGCCCCATGGGCTCTCCTGCCAAGGCCCTGTCCCAGAGCAGATGGCAATGGGCAGAGGAGAAGGGCTCAGTGCCACCGAAGGCCTGACAGCAGGATTTTGGCTGTAGACAAGCCATTCCCGTCTGAGCCATGTCGTGCTGAGCACAGGGCAGGGGAGGCAGGAACAGCCAAAGTGCCTTCCACCTTGATCCGCAGCAAGTAAATGAGCCCGCAAAGGGACATCAGGTAGTGCAGACCTGGGTATCAGCTACACGTTGCTTTTCTTCTCAGCTCTTTCTTAGACATCCCTGAAACCAGAGGCAGCTGATAAATGCCTGAATGATTCCCCTGCTCCAGAGCATCTCTGAACTGAACAGGAGCATGTGTTGCAGCAGGCAGCACTTAATTATCACTTAGTCTTTAATTAGCACTTAATTATTAACTTAATCCATCTGTAAAATGGGGACACTAATACCTGCCTCATAGGGACTCTGGGAGGATTAATTAAGTTTGCAGCCAACTTTGAAGATGCGAAGCATTGAATAAGTGTTCAACAATGGCATTAACAACCACAGCAGATGGACTTCCTTTTCCTAATGAAGTCCCTTCTTCCTCTCCACTCCTTCCTCTCCTTGCGAATACCCATCCGCACCAATATCTGCCCAACTTTGCCCTGGTGGAAAAACACTTAGCTCTGTGTTTCCCAGTCACAGGATTTCCCATCCAGGAAACGGGCTATTTACAGCCATCTTCCCGCACTTTAATTTTCTATTATGTCCTCTGAATATGTCAATGCCTTCCCAGTAAATATTTTGATGTGTGCTCTTGCAGCAGCTTCTGTGGAGGCTGAATGGGACAGCTGCTCCCTGTATTAGGGAATTCCAGATGTGGTTTAGAACCATCAGACTCATCTGTGCGAATGCCCAGCCTTTAGGTGGGAGAAGGGAAGGATCTTCTCATTGCCTCTGGGGAAAGTCACAAGCCATCTACCCCTCAGCCTTGGCTAGGGTGGTTTTTCAGGGACCTCAGATCCACATGCCTTTATGTTGAGAAATGTCCTCTTAGTGAGCTGGGGAAGAGGCAGCCTGGAATACAGCCCTGGTCTGGCCCTTCGCCCAGGTAACTTCAGAACCTCGGTCAGCTCTTCTATAAAGATTGGACAAAGGACTGTGGGGGGAGGGGGCAAGGAGGAAAAGTATATAGTCTTCAGGGTTTAACCAGACTGAATACTGTGCCAAATATTCCCAAGGTCAGCCTTCATCTCCTCCCTCCTCCCTTGCTGCTGACCAAGTAGGGGGATACTCACTCTTCTTGGAAGCTGAATCCGTGGTCTCTTAGAGTCCCAGCCATGGAGACAGAGAGCTGCTCCGTGGAGGTCCTGGGCTGCAAGGCCTCGGGCAGGCCTTGAACTCTCTTCCAGATTTCATGGCAAGTCTTGTCTAGGCTGTCTTGGGGTGTGTCCTGGTGGATCCAGATGTATCTGGGGAATGGGCCCAGGGCGGAGGGACGCTTGGCCACCAGGGCCGAGGATGAAGAGAGCCCATTCCCACTGGCCATCCTCTTCCTCTCTTTCTGGAAGCCCCTTTGTCCACCCAGGGCTCGAAGACAGGGGGACCATCCGCCACCAACCCTCATTCACCAGTAAGGGAGATGAGGATGGGTCCTGGCAGAAGTGGGTCAGTCCTGCTTGGCTGCTGCTCCAGCAAGGCGATTGTGTTCAGAGGCCTTCGATTTGTGTGGGCGTGGTGGGTGGAAGACAGCTTTCTTTTGGGGAGGGGGGGCTTATTTTGATTTGATTTTTTTTGCTCTTTCCTGACTCTTGCCCCCCTCCCCCTCTCCCTCAGAAGAAAATACTTAAAAGTCAACAAAAACCAGTAGCTTAGTAACTGTGGAATCCCCCGGAGCTCAGGAACCAGGCGCCTGGGCGGGCAGAATGACATCTGGGAACAGCTGGAAGGGGAGGGCTGGCTCTCCCCACGGTCCCTGGCACTCCCCCCTTGCAGCACCCCCGTGACACTTTGCTGCGCCTGGGCTCAGCCCATCCTTGTCCGCTGAGCCCCGCGATGACTGGGCGAGGGCCTGGCACCGTGCTAGGCGCCGCGGGGGCAGGAGCCCGCCAGACTCCAGCTCAACGGCCCTGAACCCCGCCGCCAAGTGCCGCTTTGCTCTCCCGGCTACTCCGCCAGGGCCCCCGTCCGCAGCTGCGACAGTGGCGAGTGTGGCGACGCGCCCGCAGCCCGCCGGCCCGGCCCCCAGCAGACACCTGCCACGGCCGGCCGGGCAGCGGGGACGGCTCCGGGAAGCCTCCCGACGCGTCCAGAGGGCGCGGTCTCGGCAGGGCAGGCGGGAGGGGCGGCTCTGGCCAATTTGGTGCCAGTGGCTCCCACACCCTCGCCGTCGAGCGCTGGAATTCTCTATGAGGGTTTCAAACGCAACGGCTCGGGGCGCGGGGCGCCCGGTTCGGCGGCGCCCAAGGCCGGCGGGAGGGGCGGGGGCGGCACGGGCCGCAGGAGCCCAGGGCGCTCTCGGGGCTTAGAAGTCAAGGCCAAAGCGCTGCGGCCCCGCCCTGCGCTCCACACACGCCTCGGGGCCCGCCTGGGGGCCTCCGCCCTCATCCGCCTGGCTTTAACCCTAACTGCCCTCTTACGGGGCGCTCAGCCTGTGCCAAGCGCTGAGCTCATATTCAATCCTATTCAAGCTCATGAAATTAGCGCCGCTTTTTATTATAGCTCTCCATGTGCGGAAACCCGAGGCTCAAAGTCATAAAGAGTTATTATGTTCAAGGCCTATCAAGAAGTGGGGGGCTGGGACTAAGGCCCAGCACGCCAGGCCTGATCTCTCGCCCTGAGCGGCTTGGTAGGTCCCCAGGGTTGGCGGGGCCGGAGGGGCGGGGAGAAGGGCCAAGGTAGCTGTTCGCTGATCAACAGGCTCCTACCCTCACCGAAGGGCTTCATTCAACTCGCAGACACAGCACCTCTGCCCAAGTGGGGCTCTCTGGCGTAAGACTCAGTGGTTGTTCCTCCAGTGGTTCCCCCTGGAAAGGAAGAGCAAAAGGATAGAGAAGGAAGAATGGACGCAGGTAGACGCAGCTGGCAACCTGTAGATGTGGGGCTGGGTGGAATCCTGACACTTCCCAGCTGTGCGACTCTCACAACTTTCTTCCCTCTTTATTGTGTTTTCCCTGATACTATTAAGAATAGAGCCCTTCCTCTGTGCCAGATGAGTTGCTGGGCACGGAAGAAGCACCAGGGTGGACTAAACTGGTGGGGTCTCTGCTCTCGTGTATTTTAGTGGAGGGAGATGGATCGCAACCAGCCAAGCAAGTAAAGCAGCAATAATTCCAGATGAAACAGGGCTCTGGTGGAAAATACCTAACAAAGTGAGGCAATGGGGATGGGAGAGGAGGCAGCATTTGATGATGGCCCAGGCAGGCCTCTTTGAGGAGGTAAATCTGAGCAGGAGGAGAGGGAATCCTTTTCTATAAATTATTATGAGGATCACATTTCTGGCACACAGTAGGCCGGAATAAATAAATACGTGTTGGATGAATTAATGGTATACTGTATGTAAAGTGCCTGGCATACAGTAGGTGCCCAATACACAGCCTTGCTCTTTACAGAGGAGCTGAGTTCCTGGAAATGTTGACTCTAAATTTTGAAATCCGAGCTTCATTCCTCTTTGATTTTCATTATAAAATTGAAGATGTGTTCCTTTGGGGAAAATTCCAAGGACCTAGACTGAATAAAATTATAGTTAAGAATGTAGAAAACCTTTTAAAATAGTGTATTTAAAGGAAAAGTGATCATTTCTGATGAAATATTAATAGTTCTGAAAATGTCACTCAGTGTTTGTGCTGCTTGGCATTTGGTTGGCTAACACCTAAGCTTAGAGCAGAACGCCAACGACCCTGCACTGCCCAGGCCACAGGATGCTGCAAAGTTAGCCAGCTCACTCACTCCTGCTCTCTCTCCCTCTCAGCAGGAGACCAGGCAAAGGGGCTAAAGTAGAAAGGATTGAAAAAAAATAAAATACAGCATGGATAGAGAACAAAGATAGAGCATGTTTTTAGAGCACACAGATGAGGTTTCTAGAAGATTCCGCAAAAACCTTAAGTGATGTACTTAGAAACAGCATAAAGTTATATACAATATGGTAGCCACTAGCCACATAAGGTTATTTTAATTTTAATGTAAATTAGGCCGGACAAGGGGGCTCACACCTGTAATCCTAGCACTCTGGGAGGCCGAGGCGGGAGGATTGCTTGAGCTCAGGAGTTTGAGACCAACCAGCCTCAGCAAGAGCAAGACCCCGTCTCTACTATAAATAGAAAAAAATTAGCCAAACAACTAAAAATAGAAAAAATTAGCCAGGCACGGTGGCATGTGCCTGTAGTCCCAGCTACTTGGGAGGCTGAGGCAGGAGGATCGCTTGAGCCCAGGAGTTTGAGGTTGCTATGAGCTAGGCTGACCCCACGGCACTCTAGCCCAGGCAAGAGAGTGAGACTCTGTCTCAAAAAAAAAATAAATAAATAATAATTTTAATGTAAATTAAACTCAAAATTCAGCTCCTAAGTTTCCATAGCCATATTTCAAGTGCTCTATAGCCACATGTGGCTAGTGGCTACCATGTTGGATAGCACAAAGAACATTTCCATTATTGTGAAACACATAGACTATAGAACCAGACTACCTGGGTTCAAATTCCGAGTACGTGTTTTCTGGCAATGTAGACTTAGACTGGTTACTCTGTGCCTTGGCGTATTAGTTTTGCTAGGACTGCCATAACAAAGCGCTACAGGCTGTGTAGCTACAACAGAAATTTATTTCTTCACAATTCTGGAGGCTAGAAGGCCAAGATCAAGCTGTTGGCAGGGTTGGCTTCATTCTGAGGTCTTTTTCCTTGGCTTATAGATGGCTCTCTTCTCCCTAGTCGTCATGTGATCTATGTGTATCCCTGTCCTACTCTCTTCTTAAAAGTACATCAGTCACGTTAGATTAGGACTGACCATAATGGTCTCATTTTATCTTAACCACCTCTTTAAAGGCCGTATCTCCAAATACAGTCACATTCTGAGATACTGGGGGTTAGCACTGCAATATATGAATTTTGGGGGGACACAGTTCAGCCCATCCCACTTAGTTTCCTCATCTATAAAATGGGACAGTAATGAAGAACATGTGCTTTGTGGAATCGTTGTAGCTGTTCTATCACTAAATAATTGCTTCACACTTGGGAAGTCCTTAGAACAACAACTGGCACATGAGGAGCATACGAAAGTGCTGTGCATTGGTCTGCTTGTTGATTACACTGAAAGTATGCCTTTGGAGTTTCTGAGTAACAGCTTTTGTGCTTTGTGTAGGGAGGGAGAACTTCAGCTGTAAATTGTTCTGTGATAGAGAAGTGGACTCAAATCATCACTTATACCTTTCCAGACGTTGCTCATTTTTGAGCACCTATCATGAACCAAGACTGAGTAAGACACAGGGATCGGAAATGAACAAGACCTCTACCCCAGACAGAGCACAACCTAGTGAAGGAGGTGGGGGAGGCAAAGCGTTCCATAAGTGCTGATACAGAGCAGTGTGACACGAATGACTTATTCCCGTCCCTATTCCACATGTAGTCATGTTCCTCCAGCACATGTGTCTATGTGCCCAGCACTGCTCCAGGTGCTGAAGACAGAATAGTGAAGAAGACAGGCTTGGTCCCTGCCTTGCTTTTGTTTGTTTCTTTGTTCTTTAGAGCTTGAAGTGAAGCATTCAATGGATATTCATGGATACCATTTCATCTATGAATTATTTTTAGCTTAAAAAAATTCTTAAAATCTCCCTTACTACTCATATGCCGCTGAGCAGGTTGTTTAACCTCTATGTCTCAGTTTGTTCATCTAGGAAATAGAGATAATAAAATACTGACCTCATAGCGTTGTTTCGTGACAATTGAGATTATACGTGTAGTGCTTAGAATAGTAGGTCTAGCTAATGTATATACCCAAGGAAAGTTGATTGTCCTTATTTGGAATTCTGGGATTCTTGCTTTCCTATTTAGAACCAGGAAAGTCTCAGGAGGAGGAAACTCTCCTACCTATCCTCCACCAAAGCCTCTATTCACTGGGCTTCTGCCTCTGACACAGATAAGGCTGGGTTGGAAAACTCAGAAAAGCAGCACGGCCTGGCTTCTTTTACCATCTTCCTAGGCCCTAAGCCTGCTTACTCTTGTAGGTCCTGTTCCTCATCTAACATATTTGAAACACACCCACCTCTCACAATAAATATAACTTTTGGCTATAAAAGAAAATTGAAAGGATTTTTGCCATTTTACTTTTGAAAATTTTTGGCCATGAGTAATTTATTTAATTTACGATCGGCTGTGATTTCTCACCAATCTTGGTGCCTACTCGAGAAATCTTGTGCAGTGAGAAAACTCCAACCTACAAGTTGTTATCAAATGCAATGAAATTTTTATGACAACCAAATTCAACAGTTAATGAAGTTGACATAATGTTACACTTTGCATTTAATTAAATATTTACTGATTTCAATGTTGCAGCTTTCTTCTTTGTATTGTGGAGCTAATCATAAAATTTTTAGGCCTCAAAACTTTTTGCAAGCCCCTGAAAACCACAGAGACCCCCA